CCAATTATTTTATCCCATCCAAATAATATAATTTCTCGAGGTTCTCAAAATATGCGTTTGCTTCAATGATGACCTCTTTATTGGACCCAAGTCTCTAACCGCCCAGCCATTTATTCAGGTTTGGAAAGTCGCAGGGGGCTAAATCTGGGGAATATGCTGGGTGTCCAAAAGCTCTGCTTAATATCCAGTGATCGTTTTACTCTTTTCAAGGTAATCGATGTGAATGACACCGCGTGCCCCAAAAAACTATGGCCATTATCTTGTTGGCCGACAGACCCATTTTGGCTTCTTTGCTTGGCTCTATCTTCCTTAGGTACCCCACTGTACAAGTGGTATCATACATTCCCCAGCTTTTGGAACCTTCTCCCTTTTTCTTTGTCTCCGTCAGAATTGCAATATCAACCTTTAGATGTTTCAATTTATTTGCCTTCTTTTAAATACCCTGCACATTCCCCGTGGCAAAAATCGTAGTTTATTTCCTTTGCTTGGTTCGTCTTTTTCAGTGTTCTGTCCCTTTCCGAGGCTCTTGATTAGGTTTTATAACATTTTGATGTTTTTTAAAAGTACCGGGGTTTAAGCCCGATAACTCAACCCCAAACCTGGAAGTCCAGTCGAGTTTTTATTTCACGGTGGGTGTTTTACTTCCCCACCACCCTTCGAATATGCTTGATTACATACTCGACGAGCTTCCCCCAATTCCAATGGATTCGGTTACGATATAGTTATTAAGAAAAGTTTTCATAAAGTCTTGCATTTAAATTTGTATTGACTTCCAGCCCACGGAAACCCAGTAGAATATTTCCTTGTGTCTTATCATTCTGGTGTGAAACGTATTCATGATGTGCAAAACTATACTTGGACTACATTGAAACTTTCATAAATTCAAGTAGTGTCTCATTAAAATCATTATATTTTGCTGTTCTTCAGAATTATTCGTCAGTTGCTTGGATGGTAATCATGGGAGATGGTTTGCACAATTTCACCGATGGAATGGCAATCGGTGCTGCATTTGCTAGCGGAATAGGCGGTGGTGTTTCAACGACAGTGGCAGTTTTCTGCCACGAGTTACCGCACGAACTTGGAGACTTTGCCTTGTTACTTAAGGCAGGGATGACCATGAAACAGGCCATGTATTACAATATCTTATCAAGTATATTGTGCATTTTTGGGAACTTTGTAGGATTGATCTTAGGTGAGTTTCCTAACATGTAATGGTAAACTGGAAGTCATTGATTGCTCCACAGAACCCCTAATTGTTCAAAAGGAGGAATTTTAAATTGAAAGTTCTTTTTGATTATACTAAATTGTAAGTTGTCAATGTATTTTTTCAGGTAATACTGAAGTTGCTAATCAGTGGGTTTTCGCAGTAGCTGCGGGAACTTTTATTTATATCGCCCTAGTAGACATGATGCCAGAGCTCAGTTCTGCACATGAAGATGAGGAAAATCTGTTCCAGTACTTTTTACATTTGAGCGGTCTTCTAATGGGCATCGGTATAATGACGGCTATAGCCCTTTGTGAAAACGACTTGAAAACTTTGTTCGACGACTCTTAAATCTAGTGAACTATTACCAATCAGAAAAATACAATAGAAAGGTCGGTTGGGACTATTTTTTCTATAAAATTGTACTTATTGGGGATTGTCTGTTATGGTATGTTGTTATAGGACTCATTAATATCCGCAAAGGAAATAAACCTGAAAAGCGAAACAAACAATTTTTGTTAAATCGTTTGTATCACTTCACGTACAAACGATTTTTGATAAATTGTTTGTTTCAGTAGCTTTTTAGGTCGTTATAGTATAAGAAGTGTGCTATAGTTTAAAGAAGAATTGTTGATTGTGAAACAAACTTTTTTTTGGTCGATTTAACCAGAACGACTTTACTTATGAAGTAGGTATATTTAAACTAACAATGAAAAAGGTTTTTTGTGTTGCTCGTAATATTGATAAGATCTCGAAGTTTGTAAAGATTTATACTCGTTTAGTATAATTAGTGAAAACAAATTTTCAGTTCGAACCTTAATTGTAATAATTATTTATCTCATTTATCTGAAATGACACAAAAACCTTGCTTCCTCTCTTTCAAATGTAAGTTCCTAATTATTTATAAAATATATTTTAATACAGCTACCGACTTAGCTGCTCCTGTAGTGAGTGGTCTACGATCGAGTATTAAGAATATTTGACACTTTTCAGTATAATGATTTTCTAGCAAACCCCAAATTCAAACTAGTATTTCAGCGTCAATTCAGTTGCTGTAGTGCGTTGAAGTGTATTTATTTGGTATACATTTTTTTATATTCACATCGTAGATTCATTTTGCAGCTAAAATAGTATTTTGATTTTTTTCATTGTAATAATTTTATGAAGCAAGTTTTACATCCATAAGCAATTTTCCGGAATGTATCCCACATACCACTTTGTATCTGAAATTATTGCCATGAGTACCACTAATTGAGTTAAATGCGTGGTAATGTGTATTTGGGAAAAGCGCTACTTTTCATTTATGGGTCAGTATTTGCACAAGCAAAAGCCGTTAGAAACTTATTAGTATTTTTCTATTTTTCATGCACTCTTTTTTATAACTCGCGATAATAGATGCTATATAACTTCTATGCTATAAATTGCTTGGCTCAATAGTTGTAGCTGAATTTATGCTGGTCAGAGCGGTTGATTTTATTATGTTATTATATAAAAAATCCGGTATTTACACGAAGTGTAGTTTACTCCATTTATTTGAGTGGAGCACAGGCAGCATTAAACACATCTTTGATAATGTACATACATATGTATCTATATAATTAAAGGTTTAGAGTGTACTTTTTCTAACTACCTAACTACTAATTGTATCTAACTGTAATGAACAATTTTGAAGCGTTTTTAATTCGTTTATTTGCTATATTTTGTAGGTATGAAATAAAAATGTGATTAAAAGAAACAGGAAACGTACATTTGTTTAAACCTGTTGATATTTAATTAAGGAGCATGATTATTGTTCTATTATGTTTTGTAATGAGTAAGACGTATGAAATAAACTGAGTAATAAAAGTATTTCTACACTAAAACTTTTCGATAAAAGCAATAATTTCTTCCTTAATTCGGTATTGTTAGGCAGAGCTACAGGATCCGTTTTGTACATTTTTGCATGCGCTTTAATGTTTATTTAACAACATTTACGGTATCGATAAGTAATTTTATTTCTATAGAAAAGCGACCTAAATATGCTGCTTTGTCATTTCCATAAAGCAACCTTGGTGTATCCTTGGGTAGCCAATTTTATTAACCCTTAACTCACCTGCCGTCCCGCAGACTACTCAATAAAGGAATATTAGATACTTTTCTTATAACATTAAAAAGTAAACTTCTATTTATATTCCGCAATTCAACGCAAAGTAGTAATTTAGGTCGTCTTTCAGTAGGATTAAAATGCCTTTCGGAACGGAAGTTAAAAACAGGTTTTTTGTGACCTCTCGCATACCATTTGTTATTGATCCATTATGCCCTACTCTCGTCCATACAGGGTGATTCAAAATTGGCGTCATTTCTTTTAAGGGGTGACAGAGGCTCCCTTGGGGAGTACGAGAAAAACATTGAAATTTTTTTTCCGAAAATTTCTAGAAGATTATAACAGTTGAAGATCGAATTTCAACTTTGCTATTAAGCATTATTTTGAAATGGTTCCATGTTTAATTGATAGCATATTGGAATGAACGCTTAAGGTTCAAAAAGAAAAATTACGATCTTTGCTTCAAATTATTGGATTATAATATTGGACATAACCGAATCATGGCCTTCCAGGGGCACTCAGAGCACAATAACTGACACTTTGCCAAGCACCACATAAATACCGTGGAAGGGCTACATTCTTACCACGTTTGTACGATACACACAGCGCAAGGACTCAAATGTTTGGTTTATTTTTAAACACCAATATTCGAGGTTAGGAGAACAGGTTGACATTTCGTCAACAAATATTGTTGAATTTACCGTTTATCCTTGTCTATCTTATTGTCAGTCTGCATAATTCCATGGTTGCCGGAGTTTTAAATAATTACCAAGCCACAGGTATTTGCGCAATGTTAATTAGGCAGATTACCTTGAAAAACATTGCTGCCGTATTTCTGATATAGTTTTT